GATGGACCAATACTCTGTTATCAGATAGACTGCTATGTTCCTACGAGATACAATGAAAGCCACACAAGCTTGTTCGCAGCTGCAAATTTTATATGCCATGCATATATTTTCCCACCAAGATCATGGGGTCTGTAGTTAATTATGTAACAAAACTGCAAGATACCCAGGAAGAAAAAATACTTTATACATAATTCATAGTACCTGCAGATTATTTTTTTTGCTTGAAGACAGTTATAGTCCTTTATCTTGTCCAAAAACCCCAAACACACAACTTGTCTATTTGAGAAATGCACTTTTTTGAGTGTTCACTCTTCAGGGCAAACCAGAATAGATTTCCACAGTGGTTCAACCATTATGGCAAGCAATAAAGTAATCTGATTTTGGGTTATCAGAATGTGGGAAGCAATCCACCGTGGTTTGTAATACATGGTTATAGCACTTGGCAATCCAGGCAACAATGGCTTGATTAAAACTATAGTTAAATAAACCATGATTTTGCTTGAAGTTTGATCACAGTCATAAATCTGCATTGGGGGGGGGACTATTTAGGTGCCCAAAATCTAGGAAATTGGGTGAAGCATACATTTTAATAAATAAATAAATTGTGCCAATAAAGAAAGCTGCCAAAGGAACTGATGTTATTCATTAATAACATACTGGGCTAATTTCCCATCAAATAATATTGAACAATATAAAATATACTTGGAAAAGGAGATTGATGAAATGACAGCCTAATTGTTTCACTCCCAATTCTTAATTGCAACTGCTTTCTACAGTTCTATGCAATTTTCTAAAGTTACAAAAGTGATTGGAAAATATTGCAAACATGAAAGAAGTTAAACAAGGAAAATAGTTCTTGAATGTTACAACTTTGCTTTACAAAAGGGGTGGATAACTTAGTGCCTGTGGAAACCGATAGTTGCAGAGCCCTTTCTCGGCTCTTCTCTGACTTTTAAAAAATTATTATATATTTTAAGATATTAATATATTATTTTGATTAAAATAACATGAAATGAAGAGTTGGAATGCTGCAAGGCAAACTACCAGTCTTCGGTTTCATCTTTATTTCAAAGAATGACCTTGTTTCCATGTTGACATTCTTTAAATGGTGCATGGCTGCATTTTCTAGCATTCTCAGCCATCATGTCTTATGGTAATCCTGAGACCTCAAGACCAATATACTGTATCTGGAGGGAATTATATGAGGAAATCTAAATTGAGACTAAGAATTGTCTTCCTTAAAGCAAAGCTGTGACTCATTTATTTCAGTCTAAAGAAGCCCAACCCATTATTATATTTGGTTGCACAGTCAGTCTGATGTTTAGACTGGACTTAGCATTTTTGTCTACCTATTAAGTCCTTCCCAAGGACCTGGGATAGGCATCTGTTGTTGTTTAACAATATTAAAGATTCTGTCACAGAATCTAAGATGTTCAAAGTAAAACTGCCTTTTGCAACTGCCATAGTAACTTTGTCCATGCCAATAGTGTTCAACTGATTTCCCCTATGTTTTGGAATTGCATCAAAGGAACCTATTACTATTGGTACCATCTTTGCTATTTTTGCCAGTCATTCTACTTCTATTTGCAGGCCTTTGTATTATGTGATTCTTCCCAGTTTTCGTCTGCTGGCTCCAGGCATTGCAACATCCATTATCCACACATTTTGTCTTTATTATTGAATTTGGGGGTATTAAGTGGCAGGTGCTTGTTTATTTGAATTGTAAAGTCCCAGAGAACTTTAACGTNGGCTTAGCAAAATAAACTTTGGGTTAATTGTGGTCATAAGTAGAGGCTTACCAGTATCAGTCAAGAAATTCACTTCCCTCTCCAGATCTGTAACTCTGGCCTTCTCGTGTAGCTTTTCAAACTTCACAATATTTGCATACAGTACTCTTAAAAATAAATTGTAGCTTCTTACATCACCCCTTTGTGTTTTTTCATTCTTTATTTTTATAAAAATATGTTCTATACTGCTGACATCTCATTCACAGCAATGACATACTTAAAGAATGTTTTTTTCCCAGTATGAATATTAGGAGAAATATAATGTACTGTATGTAAATCATCCATAGAAAACAGGTCTATATACTGAGGGCATATTAATTTCAACCTTAAATATGTGTATGCAGATTCACCTACAAACATTGCCAATTGATCACCATTCTTCTGTACTTCATAAAACGGGCTTTTATTTATTTATCTTATTCCATAATAAACCTTATGATTTTCATTTGCCACTTAATATTTGCAAATAAATGTTATTTTGGGTTGCATAAAGCAAGAAACAGGAAAGAGACAACTAAAAGAGACATTACTGGAAAAAAAAACCCTTTTGTTCTGTTTGGCTCAAAAGGAAACCTCTGCATGGTCTGGATTTTGTCAAATTTTCTGGTATCATAGCATATTGTTATGCATATAAAAATATGCAGAAAATATTCTTAAGAGGAATTGCAAAATCTCAGGACTATGAGGAAAATGTCAATTAGAAAAATGTTTGAACTAATACTAAATAAGCATTTGTAAGCACAAATATTTTATTCTGAAACATGTATACATTTTTGGCAGGTTTTTGTAAGAGGCATTACTGATTGGTTATCTTCAGTAAACCTTGATTTTTCACAATGGCCCTTGATAACTGATCGAGGTAATTCCTTTTGTTATTCAGTAACAAAAAAATGCAAATCTTTATGCCACTGTGGAAATGAGAAACCTGTCTTTTGCCAACGGAGATATTAAAAAAAAAACAGTCACAAAAGAAGAGAGATAAAGCAGTTGAACATTTTTTAGCTATCAAATGATTTTGAGAGTTCTTCCTCAATATTCTGTCAGTCAGAATTCACTGTACATGCTTGCAATCAATTTCTGCTTGCCTACAGCTATCAAATTATAAAGATAATAATGATGCACTACAAAATATGTGACGAAACCAAGCAGGAGAGATAAGAATAAGTGTAGAAGCAACCATCAATGGCTTTGATGATTTGATGATTAATATGTTGCCAAAGAGTGCACACAATTGCGGATTTAATAACAGATAGAGCCTGGATGCTGCATGAAATGTAATATAATTTTTTAAAAAAATCTTCAGTCCTTTGTTAAGGCCCAGAGAAGGGTTTTTTTTTTCATTATTGAATACTGTTTTATTTTTTTTACATTTGATTTGCATCTGTGCAATATAGGATCTTGATACTAATATTTAAAGAGGCTTCTAGATTATGTCATCGGTTTTAGTGTTACTGAAAGTGCCAAAATCAATCTAAAGACTCAAGAGAGAATTGTCTAGAGAGAAGTCACGCTAAAACCTTATGTATTGCTAGAAGATAAAATAAAGTCTTCCACAGTGGCAGTTCTATTATATATTTATTCTAAAGGATGACAATTTAGATCATTTGAAAAACTGAAAAGGAATAATGCCTGTGTGGTCACACTGGCAATCCTTCTGTAATTCTATTACATGCACCACAAAGAAATTCAAAACATAACTAAATTAGTTATGCCTGCTTTCTAATTCTGAGACAAAGTCAACCCGATATAACAAATGCTTTTTAACCATGTTACCCACTGTTAGGGATGTAATNACACTCAAGTCCACTACTGTTTTCACTGTCAATTCAAAGCCCATGGCCCCTTTAAACCAGAATCATGCCTGAGTTTCCCCCACATTTCTTAATTTTCAGCATTTTAAATTTAAGTGAAATGGAAAAGGCTTTGGTGGTTTCTATTAAGAATGAAAAAGATATTGTCTCTCTTCTGGCCATGCATGACTTTGGCTTAGAAACAATTATCACAACTAAGATGTTAAACTTTGGTTCAGATGATGTTATTTATAACAGAAATTGACAAATTCTGGACCTTAGTACTCAAAGTCTTTAACAGCAAACTGAAAATGATCTTCTAGCCCTATTAATATTATTATAAAAGTAACCAGCATTTATAGTGACTCAAGACTCCTGACTTTTGTTTTTAAATATCATTTATCTTCCTAACGACTTGATTTTATAGACAGGTAACCTCTAGAACAGCCTAAGGAATTATTTTCCGGCATGAACCTTTAAGCTTTCTGTCTTAATTTAGAAAGCAGAGAAAGAAATCAAAATAGAGGCTGAAGAGCGCTTGACAGCGGTTAACTAGCCATAAAAAACGTTTCGCGTCGAGCCCCTCCTTCCGATCACAATACTGGCGTCAGTTTGTCTCCTATATCAATCCTTCCCCCCCTCCCCATTCCTTCCTTTCTGCATGGATGTGGCGCGTTTCTAAGAACACCGAAAGAAGGACAAGCCCTCGCTTATGAAGGGAAATATTTCGAAAACAATGTCGACCATTAAGAATAAGAACAAGTTAAAAAGATGTCATTGCACGGTCAACTCCATTCTTCTATTTTTATGAATGAATAGCCTCGATCGCTTGGAGCCCCCCCTTTTTTTTTCTTTTTTTTTGGGGGGGGGGGATTCCGTCAGCCTCGCCTAACAGCGGGACTTTCACACAGGTTACTAATCCATTAAAGTCCAGGAAAGGCCATTCTGTGAAAAGGTTTCTTTCTGGAGTAAAACATGCAGAGTTCTCACAGTGTCACAGGCGACCCAGCGTTAAGAGTATTTCCTAAAATAAGCTGTGTGCGCGCGCGCGCTCACAGACACCTATCGTAACCGAAGGTCTTGTTTAAGGGGGAAATGAAAACACCCGGACATGAGAACAGCCAAAAGGAAACTGACGGCTGCCAAAGTCCCCTCGAGAGCCTGGTTCAGGCTTAGAGCGCCTTGCCCGCCGAAGGTAGCTGTTGGTCAAGGAAATTGACGCCTGCACTGCAGGGAACGTAAACAGAGAGAGGAGAGAGAGGGGTGGACTGAAGTTTGCGAAAGGGCTACTCGAGGCAAGCTGCCGCACAGTAAACCAGGCAGCCCGGCCGGAGACCAGGCAAAAGACTCGGAGCGGGATTGACATTTCTTGCCCGAGGAAAATAAATCAGCATATAAATGAGTTCAAACAAAAGCTTGGTACCTGCCCGTAGGTTGAACGCCTTAGCCGCCTGCCCTTCCCGCCGGATGCCCAGCCGTCGCCTTCCCGGGACTGCGCCAACTTCTTTGGAGCGAGTGGCTCACACTTCCCCCTCCTCCTAACGTGCGAAGGGACGCGGCTGCAGGAACTCGGCGGCAGAGGCCAGAGCGAGAGCAGCAGCAGCAGCAGCCCGCCAGCCAGCCAGCCAGGGATCGAGCGAGTGAGCGAGGCGTCAGTCAGGCGGGAGCCTGGCAGCTTGTATTAGTGCGCCGACCTGGAACTCAGCCAGGAATCCCTTCTGAGTGGCTTGGCGGTCTGACTGACTGACGGAGTCTGGCTGCCTCGGGAGCGCGCGGCCGTGCACCTCTGAAGACCCCTCTGTCCGGGGAGGGGGAGGCGGCAGCAAAGGAAGGGGAACGAGGACGACGGGAGTTTCTTTCTCTCCTGACCCCAAAGACTAGAGAGTAGAATGACTTTATTTTATGACGATAGAGATTGGACTGTCATTTGTCAGAAATTGATGTAGGGTCTCCTGCTTGAGCGGGGGGGGGGGAGGAGGGGAGCGGTGTTGGACTAGATGACCTACAAGGACCCTTCCAACTCTGATAATCTGTAAGACCCCAAAGTCTAGAGAGGGGAATGACTTTATGTTGTGATGATAGAGATTGGGCTGCCATTTGTCAGAAATGGTGTAGAGTCTCCTGCTTGAGGGGGTTGGACTAGATGACCTACAAGGTCCCTTCCAACTCTGTTAATCTATAAGATTGCCTGTACTGCAAGCTAAACGAGGGGTATGAACGGGTGTGTAGGCAGCCAACAAGACCCGCAGGAGGTTGGAGAACGAGCACTTGTCAAACCCTTTACCTGGAAAACCTTCTAAGGGGACGCAGGCTCAGTATAGTGGTCCAGGCAGGCAGTCATTTTTCCTGCTCAGACCAAGAATTTTAAGAAAACATCAATCCTCGCGTCGTTCTTTTCCCTTCTGACTCTTGGCCTTTCAAGACTCCATTGAATCCCATTTCGACCCCCTCATTTCAAAATGGGATTCAGAAACTTTTAAAGTGGTTTTTTTTGTGTGAGTGTATATGGGAAATTTAGTGTATTGAGACTAATGCTTGGATACTGCAAATCAGCCTAAATATCCTTTCTGTCACCCAACTGGAGGAGTGGGTAGGCTAGGATGTTTCCTTAAAATAGCAAATTCAATTTGGAAGGGTGATTTATGCATCGAATGGTGCTTCTTGTTGTACATAGGAATCATTTGGTGTATATAGGAATCATTCCACCAAATGGAAGCATTTCCACAAACATCTGCTTGAACATGTGCAGTGTGAGGAATCCTCCTCCCCAAGTACTGTAATTGATTCCACTGTCAAATTGTTGTTACTATGAAGAATTACAGTACTCAGAATCTGCCTAACTTAAATCCATTATTGTAACTACTGTGCTCTAGAATAGAAGGGAATCCTTTTTTCTGTTTGACATTGTGTTAGGTATCTGAAAACTGATATCGAATCCTTCAATATTGCCAAATTTAAATGTACCCCTCTCCATAGACACTCTTCATGAAGCTTAATTTCTAATTGCCTGATGGTCCTTGCTGCTTTTTCTAACCCTGTTCCAATGTTTTTAAAATTCTTCCTGAAGTGCAGTGTTCAAAAATAGATACATTACCTGAAGTGGGATCCACCCAAACAAAAATGAAGTAGTAAAGCCATTTGTTTTATGTTATTTGCAATTATTAGTGTGGCATTTTCCTTTTTTTTGCATCTCACCGCTGACTCATCCAATTGCAGTCAACCAGATGACCCAAATGGCCTTCCAGTAAAATCCATCTTATATCTGTGTAAATTTGCACTGATCTCTAAATTTCATGCTGCTGTTTTCAGTTAATTACTCTGACCTATAAAGATTATTTGGTATTTCACTTTGCTCTTCTAGAATATTAGCTATCTTATCCAGTTTTGCCCATTTGATAAGAATGCCTTGACCTCTTACCTTAAATCATTAATATATAGTGTAAGTACAGGGTCTGGTTGGATTTTAGCAATAGCAATAGCAGTTAGACTTATATACCGCTTCATAGGGCTTTCAGCCCTCTCTAAGCGGTTTACAGAGTCAGCATATCGCCCCCACA